CCCCCCCATGCTTTTAGCACTCTACTTTCTTCAACAATTTAATTATTCTTCTAAAAATTCACACAAACCTAAAGGAACTAATGTTCTGCTTTACTTTTTTACGCAAAACAACGTTGCAATTTATGATCCATTACTAAAAAGAAAATACTCCTTTTTAAAAAAAAATAGAAAGTACTCTTTCTACGACATGAAAATAAAGTAATTATTTTATTGAAATAAAGAAAAATACTTTTTCTACATCATAAAAAGAAAATACTCATTTTGTTGAAATGAAATAAATTTTTTTTTTACATCATGAAAAAAAAGTACGGAAAAAATACTTTTATATCATGAAAAGAACATACTCATTTGTTGAAATGAAAAAATATCCATTTATAATATAAAAAGAAAATACTATTAATAATATTTTTATTTAGGATGGGGTGGAGGTGGGGTGATAGGCGAGGGTGGGTTGGTGGGGATGGGGAATAAGGTGGGGAAGGTTGAAAAAGAATTTTGGAAAATATTTTCCCTTCTCTTGATAGGGAAAATATTTTTCTCCAATTGGAGGAAAATGAGTTCATGAGGAAAATATTTTTCAAAACATTTAAGTCAGCCAAACATGGAAAAATTGAAAAATATTTTCCGGAAAATGTTTTCGTTCGTACCAAACACACCCTTTGTCACTTCATTTATTATTGTCATTGGATAGGATTCTCTTCGTTGTTCGAATTAGTTTTGTGATGCCATTTTCTCAACACTATGATTTGGTTACTTCTTAGGCTGGACGGGACTTAAAATTTATTAGCATATCAATGACCACAGTATTTGGTTTGGCCTCTCTTCTCGTCATGGTAAGCCATTCCACTTATTTCAAAAGTGTATCCTCAATCATCATGATTTAGTTGGCAAATCAAATTCGTTACCCTTGCTCTGCATCCTTTGCTTCAAGTAACTATTTTGATTTCAAGCAGCTCTTGAGCAGTAAAGGATTTGGTTTGCCTGGATGCTGGTTTGCGCTAGTAGCATTTCAATGGGTAAAGATCCATAGACACCCTCACAACTTTTTTTCTGTTCTTTGTTCGTTAAAAATTGGCTGATGGTTGTTTACCTTTTATTTTTTCCAGTCACGATTTTTGATTGCTCTACGGAGGCTTACTTTGGCAGATGGCTTGCTTTACTCGGAAAACTCAGATCGTTATGAGTTACGAAAGTTGAAAGCTGCATAAGTTTGATATGCTTAAGATAAATCTGTCGACAAAAAATGGAGCAAGTTTTACGTTAAAAATCTCCAATTTACTGCGCTGGCATAGTGATTAATTATCAACACCAAATATTATTGTTGTTATTTGTCAGTATTAAAGTAATTGATCCATTATGTATCAAATTTCAAATGAGTTGCAAATTACTATTGACATGTCCAATACTTGGAGAGCTATGGTAATAGTATTTGACTTTTTGTCAATGTTTGAGATTTTTGTTATCTCCTGAAAGCATAATTAAGCTGTACTAATGCATCAACTCTTGAGCAGTACAGTCTTCATTTAAAATCATTCTCGCAAAACCATCAAAGTTAGACCAACTAAACATGGTTTCCAATTTCCACAAAATAAATGACCAAAGCATTAAAAGGTAGTTAGACCAACCAAACGTTTTTTCCAATTTCCACAAAATAAATGATCAACAGAAACGATTAAGCATAAAAAGGTATTTACCAGCCAAGTGACAAAAATTAGTCAGAACCATGATACATAAAGCGTAAATTTAAGACATCAAAGATCCATTACTAAAGTCTACTATTCTCCACATTAGTTAAAAATTAACGATTTTTGCAACCAGGCATATGACATTTTCCGACGTCAATCTACTATGGATAATGATCAGATTCCAGATCAATCTATACTAAGTGAACGTCTCTGGTACTATTTCCAACTCCGCCCAAAAAAGAGAAAACAAAAAAGGAAGATAAAAGGTACAAATGCAACCTTTTCTTATACAAATTTCTTCAGCTGATATATTCCAAGTCTTTGTCCCTCGTATCTTCTTCTTCAAACCGAATAAACGTATGCGCATATCCTAAGAAACTTTGCAAAATTTTAACTTAGCCATGGGAACACTGTGGTGGCTCTGGTAGAAATTCAAACCCTGCTACTTCCTCGGCGCCCGCGTGCATATGGTCTTGGTACTTGTCCTTTACTCTGCACATAAGGAGATGCCAAAATGAGCAAGGATTATCATGAACTAAAGAGAGGAGGAAAAATGGAAAAGGGAATAGGCTAGGAGAACAGTATGTATTCATTAATTATAATTAGACTAGATAGAATGAAATTAAGACCTCAAATGATTGTTTCGCCGCATATTGTTTTTTTCTCATAAAAGCATTTTGAGCCTGTTTTTTCTTCTCTTCTGCTTTTAATTTTGTGACGCTTGGACGGTAGAGAATCACAGTCCTACCGATTTGACCAATAGCCACTGACCCAGTTGCTTCCTCTAAATGCTTAACAACATCATCCAGCTCTCCTCCTGGACAGGAACCATGTATTTTGAGCTGTATATAACAATGTGGCCATCAAAAATCGAACCCAAGAGCAATGCTTTTATCATATTAACCAACACTTGACACATTGCTAAAAAGAATAAGAATGAATTCTCATCAACCCAGCTGATAACATGAGCGGCACCTTAGGTGAATCGAATTAAACTCTACTGATTTCCCACAGCGAAAGGGGCCTTATTCCTCAGCAGCAGATTAACTTATTATCATCAATTTGAACATTTGTCATTTTTACTGGCAAAAGGCACATACTTGATGAAGACTGAGCTTCTTAACTATTCCCGCTTAACCTTTAATCATATTGAACAATATTTCTCATGCTGCTATATACTAACAATAAACCAATTTTACCAATGGAGTACTAATTTAACAATGTCACAAGCAGAACTAGCGAAAGAAGTTCCCCTCTTTTTTATGTTCAATCTCTACTTGCTAGTAACCATAATAATCAATCTCATACAACCATTCAAATAAAAGCCTTTCAGCAGATATATGAAGTTCCATGAACATATTTTAGTTCCTTCACTGCTTTCACGATTTTGGCGAAAAAACTATAAGCAACAGCAGTACCGCAGCATCGTAATTCCTATGGCAAGATTAACATCACTAATCGGTTTCATGTTTCATTACAATGTACAATATCAAGAACTAAAACGGCCATGTTGAACAGCATGCTTAAGTCAGATTAGCAGCAATATTCATGTCCAATTTTTACCCAATTACTAGTATATAATCTCTACTTGTTACTTTTATCAAAATTAAAAATCATCTCTACTTGTTACAAAGGCAGTATACTTTCAATCTTTGCATAAATACCCAAGTAAAACCCAGGAAATTAAGATTAAAAATAGAAGAAAAAAACACTGATGTTGAAGATAACTTTTCTAGCATAATAATTCAATTTAAACCCTAAATCCTAAACAATTGCCAAAATTCGAGTAAAATCTTCGCCAGCACAGAAAAAAAGTACCTTGAGAAGCTCATTAGCTTCAAGTGTCTCATTCAACGCAAATATCACAGAATCAGTGACACCAGACTTGCCGACCTGTTGGCTCTTTAGCTTCTTCCCTAGACTGTGTGCATACGATGTCAATTCTTTCTTCTCCTTCACTGTCAGGTTCGGTAACTTCGCCCTCAATAATTTTCTTTCAGACTCGCTCGGAGCAGCTCTCACTTCTCCATTTTCTTTTGCAATTTCCTCGTCATCCACATCCTCAGGGGATTCCAGTAGGGCTTGAGAACCACAGTTAACTGGATGGTTCGAGAAAGTTCTAGAGCGAAGGAAGATTGATGAATGGTTATGAAAAGAGGGGAAGAAGGACGGAGAAGTAGTGTTGGTGATGGGATGAAGCGACGTCGTTTGATGGGGAAGAGAAAGAGATTGCTTAAGGAAAGAGAAAGAAGGGATAGGAGCGGGTCGGAGCAAGCGATGGAAAACCATCAGTTCAGAGGAAGAAGATAACATTACACTTCCCATTTGCTCTTCAGCTTCAGTTTTGCTCTGCGCTGCGACATTATTGTGAGTAAACCTTGTAAAAAAAATAAAACAAATAAATATTTTTGTGCGCGACGTCAATCACGATTTGGGTGTTTGGTCTACTGGTATGATTCTCGCTTCGGGTGCGAGAGGTCCCGAGTTCGATTCCCGGAACACCCCTAGATTTTTGCTTTTTAAGTTTTTTCTTTTGCCCTTTTGTCTCTCTCTATATCGAGCCGTCTAACTCCTCTCTTTTTTTTCCCTCAAGTTTACTACAAAGTGAACGGAAACTCCAATTGATTTTTTGGCTTTACAAATTTGTTTTAGTTTTACGGCCCTACCTCTTTTTTTACATGTAAGAGATCTATCTTTTAGACATAAAAAATCTAAAAGGGTCATTTTCTTAAATTCAAAATTGTAAAGGGATAGATGTACAAATAGCACACATTTTGCTTACCCTTTCGGCCAAGTGAAGCAAGCTAACAACCATTAAAGGTCAACTTTTCATCATTCTTGCATGTGGGTTAAAACAAATTGAAACAACAAAAGAAGGAGAAAATATGGCCAAAATTGGTTAAAACGCACCTGCAAGTTGAAAGGGATTTGAGGAAGACGAAGAGAATCTGAGAGCAATCAAAATTTTGGAAGTTCATTATGTATATTATGTAAACAAATTGAAGGAAAACCTAAGAATCACAAAAAAGTTACACGTAGTATTCGGGTGGAGAAAAAAAAGCCATGTATCTATATTATATATTAAAGCAAAAAAGTTTGCCTTAAATATATGCCAAATGTCAAATTATTATAATGCCAATTGGCAACATATTTAAATGACAAGTGGAAAGTAAATATATTAAGACTTATCAATTTCCTATAAAGATGCTTATGTCATATAGAATTCTATAATTATGGCAAAAAAAAAAAACAAAAAAAAAACAAGACAAATCCATCGACATTTATGGATATAAAAAGCTATAGGAATTACTTTAACAAAAAGGAAGATGAAACAAATCCATCGACATTTATGGATATAAAAAGCTATAGAAATTACTTTAACAAAAAGGAAGATGAAATAAATAAAGCTATATGAACTGTTAAAAAAAGGAAAAGAGTAAATTGCTCTTTCTTACATTAAATAACGATAATTTAAAATAAAATGAAAACCCAATATTCTGTACTAAAAACAAGAATATATATTATATATTATAATAGGGTTTTTGGTGAGACTCAAAATGACCCAATATTCGGTCACCAGCATACATTACGCCTCAAAATCTGGAGAAGCACCAATTACGCCTTATCATCTTCGATCTATTCTGTTCGAAATTCCCCATTTTCTTCGCTTCATCTACGCCGAAAAATATTGAGGGAATCTTGATCTCCCTATACAAATTAGGAATTTCAATTAGCTTAACCCTAACCCGAAAAATAAGATCCCTAATTTTGTTGGATTTGGATACAGAGGGAGAAATAGAGACATTCAAATGTGAAATTAGTCCATCGCAAGGAGACATTCAAATTTGAAGATGATTTTTCCGATCGTTTGTTCTCATCTCTTTCGCATCGCTTCTGAAGACGACGACATCTACGCCAGGTATTTCGGATAACAACTAACTGTGGAATCCGATTTTATGGAAAATATATTTTTCGATACAAAAATATTCGCATTCCGTATATTTCGAAATATATATATATATATATATATGAACTGGAATTTGAAGGTACGAATAGTGAGATTGTGGCACGTTCCCGACCGCGACAAACCAGACAACACCGTCTCCCTTGAATTAATTATTCAAGACGAAAAGGTGCATTCTTTTTGAAAAAAACTTATTTTTTCATAAAAGTTTGAGTACAATCTCATATTCTGCTTCAAACTATAAGCATTCTTTTTGAAAAAAAATTATTTTTTGAAACAAATTTGACTACAATCTCATATTAGTCTTCAAACTAAAAAATTCATTATGTTATTGATTATGTATTTTTGGATTCTAGGGCGATCGCATTCATGCGACTGTTGGTCGGTCACTTATACGTATGTTCAAACCAAAGTTAAAAGAATTGAGTTTGTACGTTATGAAGAACTTTGTGGTTGGACCAAATTATACAAAACTTAAATACACGCGGCATAATTTGAAGTTGGCATTTACTCATAAGACGATTGTAGACGAAGCAAATGATCATCTTTTTGGTATGACTATCTTCGACTTAAAACCTTATGAGTATTTGATAAACAAAATTGATGTTGAAGAAAGTGAACTTTTCGGTAAGTATTCAGTTCGCAGTTCTTTTATTTGATTGTCTTATAAACTTTCTCCTGATTATTTTTTTAAATTATTATAGATGTCATTGGAGAGGTTGTAAGTTATGGTGAGGTAGAATCCCATACCCAAGGTGATAAAACCAACAATTATATGCATGTGGAACTTGAAGATCATGAGTAAGATTGCGTCTATCAATTTACTTTGTTATATATTTTAACATCATTACTTATCGTTGTCTGATTAAATTGTTATATATTAACATGATTATAGACGTAGTCTAATTTATTTCTTATATCAATTAACACAGGAGGAATAATATCTCTGCAACATTTTGGGGAGAATTCGTTGACCAAATCTTGCCACATTTACAGGGATCACCCCATCAGCCGGTCATAATTGTTATGCAGTTGATAAAAGTGCACAAATTTCAAGGTATTTCTATTGTACTGATGTTATTTGATAATATATTTATGTTAAGTTTTTGTTTCAAAAATTAAAGTTATATATAGGCAAATATTCTGTGCGTAATACTTGGCATGCCTCAAAGCTCTGGATTAACCCGGATCTTCCTCAAGCTAATGATTTTAAGTCCAGGTTAGTTATTTCATAAATCAAGTTTTGCTGGATACTACACAAATAACTATTTATTGTTATAACTAATACAAGCTTGCGTAAATACAGAATGACAAGTGTGAATGAAGCTAACTCTGCCAGGATCAGTCAAATACCTTCTCAGCGTAGTTATTCTGTTTCTGATGAGTTGGCTAATGTGTAGAAGTTAAGACTATTAGCGAATGGAGGTGACAAATCTATTAAACTCATTTAGTATTTAACTAATGTTATGTTGTGTATCTATAACACTGTTATTTATAAAAAATACTATTTGTGGTTGTTTTAACCTCTGAAAAAAATTGTGTACAGTTTCCAGAATACATAGACGGGCAAGGATTGAAGTATGTTTATAAAACTAAGATTTAACTGATAGAAAATGAGAGGATCAAATCAAAGGAAAACATTTATATAGGGGACTGAATATGCTTTGTAAATGGGAAGCTATTTTACTCTGAATTTATATATATTGCTGTTTTAGTAATTTTGTCAAATTTGATTTGCTTATAATATATTACATATTTTCTGGAAATGACATAATTGTGTGAGTGTTAGTTATAATAAAATGACTTATTTGTTTTCTACGCCATGTGCATATATATGTTTTTTTGGAATACCTGTTAAGTAAGCTTATGAGCATTTTACAATCTGAAACTTCACTAATAAAAAGTTTCAAGTTAACAAAACTTGAGCAACTACAATGCCATGTTAATGTAAAGAAATTCAGCAAGCATTGGATACAAAAATTCACACTTTCTTTACTGTTGTTGGGTATTAACATCTGAAATCTTCCCCTTATGACTTCTTTTCAGGAAGGACATATTTGGATTGTTGCGACTGTAGTGAATCTTCTACTTGAAAAAGAATGGTCATATTTGGGTGCAAGAGATGCTCGAAGAAGGTTGACAAAATTGGAAGTAAATTTCACTGCAAGAAATGTGATCGCCTTGATAGTTTTGTCAATCATAAGTTTGATAATCTTAACTATTTACTGTGAAAGAACTAAAGTTGCAAGTTACAAAAATAAGGACAAATTTTGTTATCAAATATTAAATAAACTAAATTTCAATACATCATATCTAAATGTGTTTTTCAGGTACAAGCTTCGAGTGCAAGTAATGGATCACACTGGCTTTATAAATTTGTTGCTTTGGGATCGTGAAGCAACAACTCTCATTGGGAAGTCTGCTAATCAGTTAAATGAAATTTCAATTGAGGTATATTTTATTTATTTGATTCAACCTCTATATATAGTTAAACATCTCTAAAAATACATATATGGACTATGGTGTGTGCTTATTGTCTACATTCACTGTATTAAAATCTTGATTGTAAAATGAAAAGTATTGCAGTTGATGTGGTTTATTTATTCATTCTCTTTGAATTTGTTGTTTTATGTCAGTTATTCTCATGTTGGGTAATTGGTTTTGGTTTCAAACAGACAGTAATTATGCGCAAAAGCTATATCTGGTATATATAACATTTCTAATCTGGAGTGTGTTAGTACCAAAGTTTTGCTTTTTTTCATCAGCCAAAATAATTGGTTAATATATTGTATTCAAGAAATGTGCATCTTCTCTTTCACAAATATATCATTCTGTTGTAGGTAGATTATGAAGTGAAAATTACCACAAGCTTTCTATGTGTCAGAAAGCTTTAGCTGGTCTACCCTTTGATTGATCCAGGCTTTTCTTTGCTTAGGTAGTGAATCACCTAATAAAGATGTAGGCGTGCACGTCTTATTTGATACTGCTTGGGTACCAAAAGTCATGTCATTGGTCCAAATCATACATAGTCAAATTTTTTGCTTTTTATATCGAACATAGTGGAATAGATTCATTCAGTAATTTTCATATTAAGTGTGACTCAGCGGTAGTGTAGGCATGAAAAATGAAATGCCAACTCTATTGTATATTTTTTTATTATTTTATTTTATTGTATTTTACAATTTCTAACACTATTTCGGTCTTAGGCTTCTGCTGACGTTGATGAATGTTCTTATCCAGTGGAGTTGTATGATATTCTTGACAAAAAAGTGCTGTTTAAAGTGACTGTCAAGAGCTCAAACATTAAAGTGCATCGAGAAATTTATAATGTTGTTAAAATCAGCGAGGACGATAACCTTATACAACAATATAGTCAATCTGCACAAGATGATACATTCACTGTATGTGATCGATACTCAAATACTTCATAATACTCAAATACTTCATAATACACTATTTTTTCTTTTGATTTTATATAAGGGAATATCAAGTTTAAATTAATTATGTTACTATTTTCTTAATAGGACCCTGATTTTGAGTGTCAACAACACACTGATGCAGACAAAACTTTCAAGGTTACTAATTCAAACTTTGCCTGTATAACTTCTTATCTACAATATGGTATTTAATAATAAATTTTTCCTTTGTAGGATTCAATGGCTAAAAATGATATGACTTCTCCTGCAAATACCCCTGCCAAAAGAAGTAGAGAAGAGTATGGGTCATTGTAGTAGATGTTGGTGATGATCTTGCATAATTTTCAAGTAACAAGCTTAAAAAAGTGATCAAACAGGAGAAAAATCCGTGAATTGAAACATTTCACTCTGTGTTACTCCAGTGTATTCCGACAGTGATTTGCTGGAAAATATGGTTGAACAGATGTGCAGCAAGGTTTGATAATAAACCTATGTCAGGGTGGCATATCATCAGACAAGTTTCAAACTATTTAACTTTAATCCTTAGATGTCAGTTTCCTAATCTACAACTTCCACAACTCTGGATCGACAAGTGTAAGTATGTGGAGAAGTTAGAACTTTCTATTCACTCTCAAGCTGTTAGATGGAGCAAACCAGATAGGGGCCGGGTAAAATTGAATGTTGATGGGTGCAGCAAAGATAATCCTAAATGGTAGAAACCAAACGTGTATGCCACATACTTAGTTTGGCTAAAAGAGTATAAGGCAACTGCAGCTCAAGTTTGCCATTGAAAATAATGTATTTATTCAAGTTAGTTTCTGGGTGAGATGATCAGTTTGTGGTTTCTTGCTATGAGAGATCAACCCATTTTATGGTTGGAAATTATCTTCTCAAGTCTGCTTAAGTTCATGTGCTTAGGTGCAATTGATGGATGTATCGGATCGTAGAAATGACATTAGGTAGCCACTCTAAGGGGCTGCTATTTAAGAATTAGCCAGTGCATTCTGAATTCAATTTTTCGATTCATTATTTTTATTTTTCTTAACTTCGACTGAGTGTTTGCAAATTCATGTAACACATGATAGCTATCATTTGGTTCCAGCGCTCTTTTAGCAGTTGCATAATGCTGCTTTGAATTTTCTTTGAATGTTTTTTCACAGTGATGCTGCTGCAAATGAGAGTAAAGAGCCAGCACTAGCAGCAGTTGATGGTGTTTTTCTGTCAATTTGCTCCACATGTTATCTGCATTTTGTGATGAGCTAATTTTTTATGGAAAGGGTGCAGTGGCTATTTTTTAAAACATGAAGAAATTGAGTCCTTTTCCTTAGATTATCTACCCATAATTCTTCTCCAAAATAGAATAACGCAAGGCATCTGCCTTTCCCGATTTGCTGTGTTGTATATTGTTTGAAAGAAGTGTCAGTTACATTAACGTTATTTAATTCCAATTTTCCAAGCAAATCTTGGAAGAACATAATAAAAAGTTACTGGATATAACAGCTGATCAAAGACCCTCAACATGTATACTTCATAAATTTCATAAAAATAGTTAAGAACCTTTTCTAAATAATCTGATCCAATTTGAAGAATTTGTTGCTTTCTACTATGTGCAGAATATTCCTTGCTATGATAAGTTTAGTTAAAATAAACTGCGTATCGCGCGGGTACTACACTAGTATACTTTATTTCCAAGAGTTGATGTGAAATGACTTAAATATCCTCCAGCTTTATTATTGAAAAGATTTTAAGCACAGGTAGAAACCCTTTCTCTTCTAATATATATGGTAATGTCAAAGTTTCCATTCTAGGTCATCTACTCAAAACACACTTCTTCCAGTTTGGCATGAGACGGTAATAACCAAAGTTATAGCTTAATCAACACATTCTTTTTCTTTAGTTTGTCATTGATTTTTCTTTTTGCTTCATCTAAAAAAAAATTTATTTTTCTCAGATCCAAATAATTAACCATTCCTTCACTAATTTAGTTCTAACATTATTATCCTTTACTTTTGTTGTGGAGACAATTTAATATATGCAGAACTAGTGCAACACTGGATCAAACGTAATGCTTTGGTTTTAATTCTAAAGTGTGTTGATAAGCCATAATGTGATTGGCAAGATAAAGATATAGCTTGTAATCCCTAAATTCAAGACGCAAAAGTTGGACTAACGCCTTTTTTTTTGGCAGAATAAACCCATCTTTTATAAAATCATATACTTATATATATATGCACAATAATTTATTTCTAACTTTGCCGCCACGGCGCCACCATCATTATTCTGATAAACTCTTTACTAAATTTATTGCCTGGAAAGGAAGTAAGGAACTATATATAATGAATAGTTAATTCTCTGGTTCAAATGTCTTTAATTTTGAGACCCCTTATCTTTTTACCTTCTTTTTTTCGGGTCTATCTCTAGCCCATTTATATATAACTTCTGCCTAATCTATCGGGGAAAGTGCACGATTAGCCACTAATAACACATGTATTTACTTTTAAGCCACTGTTTAAAATGTCTTTAGTCTTTAGCTACTGCTTTAATAAACTTTAATTGCCCGGACGAAAATACCCTTCTGCTCATGTCATTAACTTCAGGACTACATGTCCTTAACTTTTGAACTTGGAACTCTAAGTTCAGGACTACATGTCCTTAACTTCAGAACTTCAAGACTACATGTTCTTAACTTTTGAACTTAACTTAAGGACTTCAGGACTACATGTCCTTAACTTTTGAACTTGTTCTATAAGTTCAGGACCAAGTGTCCTTAACTTTTGAGCTTGTTAGTCTAAGTTCAGGACCTATTGTCCTTAACTTTTGGGCTTCTTAGCCTAAGTTCAGGACCTATTGTCCTTAACTTTTGAGCTTGTTAGTCTAAGTTCAGGACTTCAGGACCTATTGTCTTTAACTTTTGAGCTTGTTAGTCTAAGTTCAGGACCTATTGTCCTTAACTTTTGAACTTGTAACTGTAAGTTCAGGACCTATTGTCCTTAACTTTTGAGC